ACTCCATTGATGCAATTATTACTCCGAATAGGTTTTGGTTTCGGAAAGCATGTAGTTAGGAATGTACTTGTTATTTATCGTGCCAAAAATCCTTACGTGACTCGACCGAAGTCATTTGCTCTCCAACCTGACTCAAACGCCCATCACTTAAGGCGAATTATTCACACGGGATTGTCTCTTACTATTCTAACATATATGCGGTAGGGAAACCGACATTCAGTTTTTCGATGTCAACAGCGCTGCTGTTACCGCTGGTCGAGCGCTTCAATCTCTAATATTTCCATCATATGTAGTTGAAAGAGAGCTGCAAAGCCTCAAAGAGGCAAACTCATCCGGTCCAGACAATATACCAGCTACGTTCATGAAATAATTGACGAACGAGTTCTCAAAGCCCCTAGCACATATCTTTCGTTCCTCATTTGAATTAGGAAGACTGCCATTCGACTGAAAAACAGCCAATATTTACCCGATATACAATGGTGGGGCCCGAACGAAAGTCAATGTTATCGGCCTGTCAGCGTAACTTGCATTTGCCGTAAGGTGATGGAGACGATGATTGAGAAGGCGACAATGAAGTTCATAGGGGAGAAAAAATTATTGTCAGAGTTCTAACACAGCTTCAGACAGAACCACTCTTGTCTTTCCGGCCTATTGCTTTCGAATGAGCAGTGAGCTCGCGCACTGGATGAAGATACTAATGTTGACGACACCTATACGGATTTCAAGAAGGTGGTCGACAGCGTCCCACATAAATGTCTATTGTATAAATTAGAGGAAATCGGAATAAGAGGAAACCTGCTGGCATGGATCAAAGATTTCCCACAGGGCGATCGCAAACTATGTGCATCGAAGACTCGAAGTCAACCCCCACATCTGTTCTAAGTAGCGTCCACCAAGGCTCTGTCTTAGAGCCATTGCTCTTCCTAATCTATATCAACGACTGTGTCGACGACTTGGGTTGCAGCGCCATCATGTTTGCTGACGATGTCAAACTCTGGAGAGCCAT